TACCTGCTTTACTCCCCTTATAACCGATGATAGCTTCATCTATTACTATCTCTTGGTGGAGATTATAAGAATTTTGGGAAGACTCCATAATTTTGTTTAGGACTGGAAGTACTTTATACATTGGTTCCCGACTTTTCTCAATTCTACGTCTCTCAGGATCACTAATATTTGCTGGATCTTTGTCAGCATCATTGCAGTGAAAATACTGAAGTATTTTTTGAAATCGATTTCTACTCATTGTTCCTGCTATAAATTCATTCCTAAGAGCAGTCTGGTTAGACCAGTAGTCCCCAATTTCCATCTTTGGATCAACACCCATCAAGATAAGGATTCCAAGAAATGCTCTAATTTCATCATCTTTGACTTCATGCCAAAATTTATCTCTCTTGCGTTTTCTGAGCTGGCTCCATTGAGCATATTTGTTTGTCTCACGGCGCAGTTTTTTAATCAGATATGTAGGAAAAATGGTATGAAATGCTTCCAGGACACTTGCATTCTCATCCAAAGGAACATTGGGGCCAGGTGGGTCACCTGTAAATTCCATTGAACCAGTGTGACGTTTCAGGTGTGATGACCACCCTTCATCATCCTCACTTTCAGAACTGTCATCAGAACCAAGGTGCATGTATTCAGTTGGCTCCTCATACCTGTGGCCTCTTTTCCATGTGTCTTCAATTCTTCTGACATTTACATTTTGTCTTATTCTCCTACGTGATCTCAAGGTAAGCCCTTCATGCGGGTCTTCATCTGACACTACATCTTCCCCAGAAGATGAGGGGAAACAATGGTCACTACTGACTTCCATATCTTCCCCTGACTCCAGGCAATCATCTGACAGGTCATTTTCTTCACTGACGGCAATCACCCTATCATGTCTCTCATCATTGGTCTGTTCATTGCTTCTCTCATCTCCCCCAATACTGGCCATGTCCTGTGGTGGTTCATTGCCAACTACTGCCATGTCCTGTAGTGGTTCATTGCCAACTACTGCCATGTCCTGTGGTGGTTCATTGCTAACTACTGCCATGTCCTGTGGTGGTTCATTGCTAACTACTGCCATGTCCTGTGGTGGTTCATTGCCAATTACTGCCATGTCCTGTGGTGGTTCATTGCCACCTTCACTAGTGCCAACTACTGCCACGTACTGGGGTGGTTCACTGTTACCTTCACTCGTGTCAACTACTGCCATGTCTTGCGGTGGTTCATTGCCAACTACTGCCATGTCCTGGGGTGGTTCACTGCCAGTGCCACCTTCACTAATGCCAATTACTGCCATGTCCTGAGGTGGTTCACTGCCACCTTCACTCGTGTCAACTACTGCCATGTCCTGGGGTGGTTCACTGCCACCTTCACTAGTGCCAACTACTGCCATGTCCTGTAGTGGTTCATTGCCAACTACTGCCATGTCCTGTGGTGGTTCACTGCCAACTACTGCCATGTCCTGCAATGGTTCAATTTCCTGTGGTGTAGATGTACCACTAAAAGGAGTGGCTCTACCACTATCTGTATATCTTAAATGTACCCTGTCTTGCAGTGGGTCACTGTCACTGACATCCATTGCCATGTCCTGCGGGGGTTCACTGGCATGTTCAGGATTGCAAACCACTGGCATTTCTTCTGGTGGTTCACTAGGTGTAGATTCACCACTAGAAGGGGTGGTTCTATCTGTAAATTGTAACCTGCTGCCTCTCCTTGTCCTGCCACCAGAATTCATTATACGTGACTCCTCATTGCTGAGTTGCAAGGCAGCCACCTCTCTAAGTGACATTTCCAGCTCCTCACACACTTATGCAAAAAAAGAGAAAAACTTGTAAGTATAAAGTATTTAGCCCAAGGTCAATTTTGTGTATCAAAAATACATCAACCATATGGGATTCATTATACTTTAACTACATGCCAGTTATTTCCCCATGCATCAGAAACACAGCCAATTGTGACTAAATGTTCCTATTAGCCCAGGCTAACTATGTCATGAATAGTTAGAAGCATTGCCAGTTACATCTACATTTGTTTAAAACACTACCCAATTGTACCTCAGTGGGCCCAGTACAATGTCTAGTTGCTACTCACTGTTTTTATCCATAGTGCCAATTGTGTTTCAATGTACCTTCAAATCAGGCCAGTTGTATACTTGTGTGTATACATATACTGCCAATTGTGTTCTAATGTGTTGCCTTCCATCCGTATCCATAGTGCAGTTGTTTCTCAATGTGCATGCAAGGCAGGCCAATTGTGTTCTAATGTGTTCAAAACACTGGCCAATTATTTCCTAGTATTTCCACTGATATAGCCAACTGTTACTTACTGTTCTTATCCATAGTGCAATTGAGTCCTATTGTGCCTGCAAAATTACTGAAAACCATGTAAAGGACTGCAAAAATTCTGCCGATTTTCCCACTTTTTGAAGACGATGTGAAGTATGCCACTGTAGATTTAACTGCCTATTTATAGCTCTTCACACGCACTAGCAGTAGTACTCAAGGCCGACCTGATATGTGATACCAGGCCAGATCAAGTTTCACATTTTTCAGACACAGTGAAAAACATCTGGGGCTTATACCCTAGCATAGAAAAGAGCACTGAAACACAGTTGGCTAAAAAAGGGTAACACATATTTTTTTTTCTGACATGACAATTGAAGCACATTTGGGAGGTTCAGGAATATAGTGTGTGTGCTAATTTGCATATTTGTAAATTGTAATCCTTATGGATGAAGTCATATCTCTGGCATGGCTGATATTCTTCAAACTTAGCATGATTAATGTAATTATTGATCCGGTGGTGACAATATATATTGTGTGTGCTAATTTGCATATCTGAATATTATTTGCATATATTAATGTTTGTGGACGAAATCGTATCTGGTGTTTCTATGTTGATCTTCTCCAAACTTGGTATGGTTAGTGTACTTATGGTTCCGGTTCTAACAACATATTGTGTGTGTGCTAATTTGCATACGTTTGCATATATTAATGCTTATAGACCAAATTGTGTCTGGCATTTCTATGCTGACTTTTGACTGTCACGCTTATTTTTAAAACTGTTGCTCTCAATTTACAAATTCTCTCCATTCACACTAAAGCTTTTCAGTATTTAACTTTAATTGCAAGAACAAAGAGTTCAAAAATTTCTAGCAACTACATACAGATTTGTTCAGTGTAATCAACCAGATTCAAAAATAGCATACACTGCCTTATAGTCACTGTAATAGCAGTGTAAGGTACCCAAAGTTGTAACTGAATGATTCCAATTTTCCATGAACAGTTTGGGAATCAACCATCTCTGATGGTTTTTTTGTTTTATTACAT